AAGAGGGATTAGATGCAATAGAAGATACTCATTTTCTCCATCATTTTTCTCCCATTTTTTCAGTTTCTCCATTACTACGGGTTCTGAGGTGCACGTTCAATTTGCGTTTTAAAAAGTAAAATAAAATGAAACCTCTTTTGAGATATAAATGCTCTAAAAGACATTAAGAGATATTGAAAGAGGTTTATAGGGTGGAAGACTTCTGTTTAAAGCCTTGCATTCAATTTTTTAAAATCCCATGCATCTCTTACTCAAAAAATTTTTAAATAAAATGTTAAAAGATACAACCCTGATATCCTATCTTGCCTACTGTCTCCTCAAAGCTAGGACTCTTGGAAAAATGGTCCATACTACTTGACTACTTTTTTTTTTTTTTTTTTTGGTACTGGGGATCGAACTTGGGTCCTTGCATGTGCAAGGCAGGCAGCGAAACCACTGAGCTAAATCCCCAGCCCTACTTGACTACTTTCTTACAACCTCCTTATAATTTGCCAATTTCTTTTGGCTTGTCTATTCATGCTACAGAAACTGAGGGCACCAATGGACCCTGTACTGCTAACTTCCATGGACTTAGTTTTTTAATCCACTGCTTAATACTGCTTTCTTGACAGACTCTCCACCGTAGGCTTCCATAATTTACTCTTCTAGTTTTCTTACTATCTTTCCTGCCAGTTTTCGTCTCTTTAAGACCTCTTCCTGTAAGGACCCTTCCTGTTCTCAGAGCTCTTCACTAAGTCCTTGTTTAGTCTCATCTCTGCTTTCCTGGACTACTGCAACAGCTTCTTGCCACCTTATCCATTTAGGGCCTAACAGCCAAAGCAATGCACATCTCATCGTGCACTCTGCAGCTTCACACCACTCCAGAGCTTCCTACTGCCCTCAAGCTGAAGTCCGAAACCCTGTGCTGGATCCTACCCACCATTCAGCTTCACCTCACTCCTTGGAGACTGGGTCTACTCACACATTCTATTCCTAGAGAAGGTCAATCTGTCTGCATCAAGACCTATCCTCACTTATTTTATTCTTTAGGGCTAAGTTTAACACCAGTGCCTCAGCAATACCCACCCACTCTCTCCAGAATAAATCAGACCTTTGTGTTACAAAGGTACTTAGGCCAACTAAGATTAAGTACTTGGTACAAGCACTGCGTCAATACTTTGTTCTCATGTTATCAGGAATCGTACCTCCATGCTCTTCAGGGCTGAGAGCACTAGTGCAGGACAGTGAATATCTTCTGTTAACGAATAGGTAACTGTACACATTCTGCAGAGTGCAATCACGATCTTTTCGCTAATTACTTCAAGATCTGTGTTTCTAATTAGAGCTCATTCTTGATTTGGAACCACATTTCTGACTTTTCTTTCTCAAACCCAATCTCATTCCTTTTCCCATATTCTCAGATCCTGGTGAAGAGTAATGTCTACATCACTTCTGCCTGAATCAGAAACCTTCATTTCCTAGATGTGGAAATGCAGACCTCACCTGCCTCTGACTACAAAGCACAGGATTGTACAATTTGTAACTTTACTAAAAACAAAACAAACTCTTTTCTGGTCTCTTCAGTTCAAGCACCACCATTTCTTGCCTGGGTCTCTCTACCAGCCTTCAGAAAACATGGTCCTGCAAACAGCTCCCGTCCTGCCTATGGACTTTTTTCAATGCAGGGCAAAGTCTCTGAATTTCAAGCCCAATGTATCACTGCTTAGAACCTTTCAACTGGCTTTGCCAGGGCCTTTCCCACTCCCACTTCCTAATACTCTGCTCTTCAGACAGATACCACGCTGAATTTTAACACCTGTCCTTCTGGGCTCTAATAGGCTTCCTCTGGGAAGCTTTCTGTGATCTATTCTCTAACCCGGTATGCATACATATATCTCCTACAGATTTCTTTTGTAATGGGGATTGAAGACAGGGCCTTCACTATGAGCTACAGCCCCCACCCTTTTTAAAGGTTTTTATTTTGAGATAAGGTCTCACTAAGTCACCCAGGCTGGGCCTGTACTTTCACGTCTCCTGCCTCAGCCTCCCTAGAATGCTGAAATTACTACCCTGCCCAGCTTCTTCCAGATCTTGTAATGATGCCTGCCACAACACTTATTCGTTGCAATGATTATTTGTCAATCATTCTCACTAGGTTGTGAGTTCTTTAAAGTGAGAAACTGATTCTTAATACTCTTTATATTCCCAGTGACTAATGAAATACCTGGCACACTGAAGAAACTCAAACATCTGTTAAATGAGTCTACAAGCAAAAGAAACAGGAGATACCAGTCAACAGAGTGCTTCCTAAGCATGAAGATAAGAAGGTCTGATCTAGTAGTTACAGCAGAGATTGGGGAAATGAATCAAAACACAGTTCAGCTCATTAACTACTAACTAAGGCACAAAGGTGCACAAGATGTTGAAGGAACAGAATATAAGCTGTCTGTTTTTAAGCTATGTTTCCAACAGTGCTTGGCTTCATAGAAGGTGCTCAATAGATCTTACCTAAATGAAAGAACCTAAGTATTTGTCCCAGAGAGGTAGACAATAGGGAACCATTAAAAGGCCTAGGAAGGCCCTAATGTAATCAGAGCTGGGCTTAGAAACAACTATAATGGAATATAGTACTAAGACTATATTTCATGAACTAAGCAGAAAAGGCCACATAGGAAAAAGGACAGCGCCGTAAGCTACCTATCTTGAATATACAAAAGAAAAAGGAGGACATGTGTTGAAAAATACTGGCTTGGCTGGGCATGCTACATGCTTGCTATCCTAGCACTCAAAAGGCTGAGGCAGGAGATTGCTATGAGTTCGAGGACAGTCTGGACTATATAGTGAGACTCTGCTCAAAAAACAAAATGAAACAAACATGTAATAATGGCTTAGAGATTAAGTATTTGTGCTAGGTGGAAGAAGAAATAGGGTGTTGAGGACATATATGAGCAAAGTTACTTATTCCAAATCAAGAAAGCTAAAAAGCTGGGTGTTGTGGTGCATACCTGTAAGCCCAGCACTTAGGAGGTTGAAGGAGGATTGCTGCAGGTTGGAGGCCACCCTGGACTACTTAGTGAGTTCAAAGCCAGCCTGAACTATATAGCAAGACCCCGTCTCAAAAACAGCCAATCTCGTAGGCCCACATAATGTGTGGTTTTTATATAAAAGGTCTGAATAGGCAAATTAATAGACACAGAAAACAGATTTAGTGGTAGTCCAGGGCTTAGTGTGAAAGGCTATCGGAAGAGATTTAAGAAGTGACTGCAGAGGGGTTTGGTATTTACTAGGATAATGAATAATATTCTAAAATTGACTCTACACATGAAGATTTGAGTTGTATACGTTAAACAGGTGAGTAGATTGATAACGTGAATTATGTCTCAATAAAGCTGTTAAAAAAAATCAAATGACACTGAAGGTAAATACAGTACAAGAAATACATGAGTGAAGGCAAGGTCAAAGGAAAATTTCTGAAGGTTGGAAAGATATGAATATGTTGACTGACTTAAGACAAATCAGTAAAAACACAGAGCTTAATGTTAAAAAGACACCACAGATTACTCAAAGTCCTAGAAGGATAGATAGAAAAAATAAAAATGATGACATCATTGAAGAAAAGAAAGAATAAAAACTCAGATAAGTGGTAATAAAGGTACAGATAAACTGGTGGTAAAGAGTTCATACATGAAGGATATTTTCATTGATGTTTAAGAGGTCTTCAACTCTGAGTAATAGGGGTAGAGAAAGAAGTCCATAAAAGTAACAAAAATTAGAAAAACTGCTGGCATGAATGAGAAAAAACAAAAAAAGAAATCTTGTTGATTGTATGATATTCTCAGCCAGACTGGTCAATTCAGAGTTTGTAAACTGAGATAGTAGATGACTGGGCTATCTCACAAGTTGAAGAATGCACAGTGCAGATGAAAATGCTTGATAAGATCCATTGAGAAGGGAAGGTAATGATACCAAAGGAAGGAAGTAGGACATTTCAAAGAACTGGATTTAATGACTGATTCAACAAAAATGAAGACAGAAAGCAAAGAATTAAAGCAGAAGTCCTGGCTGGGATGTGGCTCAGTGGTGCCACACCTGCCTGGCAAGCGTAAGTTTGAACCTGAGTCTGATCCCTGGTATGGCAAAAAAAAAAAAAAAAAAAAAAAAAAAAAAAAAAAAAAAAAAAA